TGGTTTTTCCCCTAGTTCACCCACTGTAGGTATTGCCTTCTGAGGGTCCTATCTTTGTGTGGAGGTTTCCTTATTCGTGCCCAAGTTTTATCTCCTGTCCCAACTTCAGGCCACCAGCTGACCTGGCTTCAGCTCCACCCTACCTATCTGGATTTGTGCTTACCTACTGTTTATGACCTCCAAAGACAGCCCTTACTTTCCTGCCAGCTCAGCCATACATTCTAAAACATGCTTGCCTTTCATTTCACATGTTCAGATATTCTACGGGGGTTTCTCCAGACATGTGACTCACCATATTTCCTAAAACAGAACTTATCAGGTTATTTTCATTATTGCTTTTTTGTTTCCCCTGATTTGTTTTTTGTTTTTGGTGCGCTAGGTCTTCCTTGCTGCGTGCGGGCTTTCTCTAATTGCAGCAAGTGGGGGCTACTCTTCATTACGGTGCGCAGGCTTCTCTTGTTGCAAAGCACGGGCTCTAGGCGCATGGGCTTCAGTAGTTGTGGCACGCGGGCTCAGTAGTTGTGGCACACGGGCTTAGTTGCTCCTTGGCATGTGGGATCTTCCCAGACCAGGGCTTGAACCTGTGTCCCCTGCATTGGCAGGTGGATTCCTAACCACTGTGCCACCAGGGAAGTCCCTCACTATTGCTTTTTAATCATGAATAATTATTCAAAATTTTCCTTATTGAGATAAATTTAGATCCGGGCTCAAAAGTGTTAGTCTCATCTATTTTACTCTTTTCTTTCTAACCCAATACATTTGACATTTCTAAAAATATATGATCTTAAGATTGACTGCATCTTATTAAGAATGGGATAAATTAGTAATATTTAAAATATGAATTATGGGACTTCCCTGGCGGTCCAGTGGTTAAGACTCTGCACGTCCACTGCAAGGGGCACAGGTTTGATCCCTGGTTGGGGAACTAAGATTTTTTTGCCACGTGGCACAGCCAAAAAAATAAAATAAACAAGATAAATATGAATTATGTTTAAGAGAGTGATAGAAACTTCAGAACAGGACTCAAAGGTTACATATCTCTGGCCCTATTTTGTAAAAAATATATATATCTGTGTATATATATCTCGAAAACATCGAAAGCTGGGCAAGAAAGCCAGAGGACTAAAAGGATAGAAAAAAGTAATGTTATCAAACTGTTTATGAAATGGCCCGCACATGGAGGGCACTCCCCAGTATGCCACCAACCCAGGCCCTGTCCCCTTTTCCTCCTCTTTCCTATTTCTTTCTGAGAGTCCCCACTGGCGCCCCGCGCGGTCACAAACCCTTGGCTGAGTCTAGGAGAGTTTTGGTATTCAATGAACCAAGTGGGTGAGTGGCTCTAGAGCCCCCATGTCCGTTCACTCGGCTTAGACAGGATTTATCAGTCTGTCTTCAGCTTGAGAGGGAGATCCTCGCAAATCCAGTCTCTTGGGCCCCTCTCCTCTTGCTGCTTCCATCTTTCAAATTGCTCATCAGAGGGGCATGATCCTTCCCCTGTGTGTGTGTGTGTATACACACACACACATACGCACATCGTGATTTCTCCAGCTGGGCTCTGTGGACACCTTCTAATGGAAGGTGGCCAGCTCTTTGGGTTTCAGCTCCTGGGGAACCCGGTTTGGGCTTGAGTGATATTGCCTCCTCTTACCTCTCCAGCCTAGGGCTCGTAGTTACTTCCTCCATCACTACACTCTAGGTCTCTCACTCTTCCCTCTTTGGCCCTCAATTCCTCCATCAGCTACGTTTCAAATTCTTTTTATTAAATTCTTACTGATGTAAATATTTGATATGGTTTCTCTTTTCCTGGGTAGACCCTAAGTGGTAGAGAACCTAAACTCCCCCATTTTATAGTTGAGAAAATGTGGACCTTTTTTTCTTCCCAATACATTTTAGAATTAGCTTAGTCATGTTCAAGGAAAACCCTTGCTAGCATTCCTGAAACCCAGGAACTTAAGGAATCTCTTCAGGTTCACAAAGTTAGTGGAAGGCCAGGTATTGGGTCCACGATGCCTTGATTCTCAAACCACTTCTCATTCTAACAAATTAAAACTTCCAGGGTAGGAAAATGGGTAACTAGAGGAGTGGAAGAGGGGCTTTTTAAAAAAATATCTATACGGTCTTGTTTCTTTGTATTTTTAACCATGTAAGTCTTTTTACCTATTTAGAATAAATAAATGAATTTTTAAGGTAAAACAAATGTCTACCTTTATACATTGTGCTGTGTAAATGTGGGTCTTTTACAAAGTGAATTTAATTTCTATTAAATGTCATTATGTTTGCTAGTTATTACTAAGTATTAGTTATCTCACACACACACACACACACACACACACACACACAATGTAGTTCTATATAAATAAATCTACATTAATCCCATTTGTTTTCTGCCTCCTAGAATAATGATCTCCAAGCTTTTTTTGGGTCACATTTTCCTATTGGTAAAAGGTTTTGAACATATACTCCCATTATATGTATATTTATTTATAATTATATTAAGTAGCTAGACCACTGAATTAATGTGTACAGTCTAAAACAATGAAAGTTGACATGTATAAAGGACAAGGTAAACAAATTAGGAGGAGAAGTTCCAAAACCTTTCCTCCATCCCAGCAGATGGTCCTATGCACCCAGGGGACACTGTTCTAGAGAATGCCAGTCAGGAGCTGCTGGAGGGTCCCAGACACTTACTCCACTGAAGTGCCTACACGTTCACCAGAGTGAATGAAAATGTTGAAAATGCTCTCTGACTTCAACTCCCTAACTTGTTCTAAGTTCCTCAGTTCAAACACAAAGCAATAAAACTAGCTCCAAAAACACCTTGGCCTCACTTCTAAGCTGTTTCTCACAACTGTAACCAGAGTCTAACATGCTCGGCCTCTGAGGTTAGGAAGCCCGTCACTAGTGTACGTTAGACTATTTACTTATCACCGAAGATAAGTAACCTTGAGATAAAATGGGAGAGGGGAACCTAAAATATAATGACCATCACAAAAACTGACAATTTCTATTTGACTCAAAAATCTGTGATGAGAGCAGTACAAAATTAAGCTATTTTCTGGAGTCTTTTGGGGGTTAGTCCTTTTATCAGATACAATGTAATGACTGTCTCCTATCTGGGTTCAAACAGTTCAAAACTAGCCCTAGAGTAACCCCTGCCAAAGTTGAAAGGTTTCATTTGGGAGTTCCTTTCTGAGTTTTCTGGAACAGTAAGCAGAGCCCTCTCTGCTCGGGGCCTCTGGAGTGCCTGCAGTGTGCTGACACCAGGGTGATACAGAGTGGCTTTTCAGGTCAATGACATTTAGGCATTAATAATCAGATCATGGAGGAAAGTTCACATTTCTGAGCAGAATACTGGAAATGATTGCTTGCCGGGGAAAAGAGCAGAAGGCTTCGCAGAGGGAATGGCATTTGATCTGGATGATGAGGGAGACTTATAATTCAGGAAGAAAGGAGAGGAGGAGGGGGAAGGGAAAGAGAAAGCAGTCAAGGGAAAAGAAGAGAAACACTGAGCACCTGACTAGGTAGATGTGTCTCATCATATAATCCTTAGGAAAGCCTTTGGAGACGGCCATCATCCCCACTGCACAGGTACAGGAACCGTGGCTCAGGAGAGTTAAGTAACTAGCACAAAGCACACATGCAGTTATCTGCTGGAGGGTTGAATTAAGGGGGCCAGTAGCTAGACAATTGCTCATAAGGGCAATTTAAGTGGTACCAAAACGTCACTGTATGTTATTTGTAAGGATACAGAGCAGTTACTTAACAGAACCATTCTTGGGGAGTATAGTGTATGTGTTGGGAAAATAAAGAATTCGTAAGCTATCTGGGGTGCTGATGTGGTCCAGATCCCCGGGGACATGCTGGGAGAGCTGGTTACTAAACTCTGAAGGAGGCTATTTTCCTGTAACACTCAGGAGTAGCAGCCACTTTAAATAAGTGCTTAACAGATATTTGAAGACTATCAATTTAAAGGGGACCAAACGACATATACCAGGACAAAACTATAATTCAAGAAGATACATGCACCCCTATGTTCACAGCAGCACTGTTGACAATAGCCAAGACATGGAAACAACCTAAATGTCCATCGACAGAGGAATGGATGAAGACAGTGTGGTTTATATATTACTACGGAATACTACTCAGCCATAAAAAAAGAACGAAATAATGCCATTTGCAGCAACATGGATGCAACTAGAGATTATCATACTAAGTGAAGTGAGTCAGAAAGAGAAAGACAAATACCATATGATATCACTTATACGGGGAATCAAAAATATGGCACAAATGACTCTATCTACAAAACAGAAACAGACTCACAGACATAAGAGAACAGACTTGTGGTTGCCAAGGGGAAGGGGAGTGGGGGAGGGAAGGAGTGGGAGTTTGGGATAAGCAGATGCAAACTATTATATATAGGATGGATAAACAACAAGGTCCTACTGTAGAGCACAAGGAACTATATTCAATATCCTGTGATAAACCTTAAAAGAAAAGAATATTTTAAAAAGAATGTATATATGTGTATAACTGAGTCACTTTGCTCTACAGCAGAAATTAACACAACACTGTAAATCAACTATAATTTAAAAAATAAATAAGATTAAATAATAAGGGGCCCAAACAAATAGTGTGTCCAGATACCTGACTTGTTCTGAATGGTTATAGAAGGGTCAGTCCTAAATCTGTTTAACTGCAAAGCAGGTGCTCTTCAAAGCCTGTAGCTTGGGGCTGAAAGGTACATAGACAGGCAGGCAGATGGACAGACACAGGGAGAGACACAGAGATGGGGAAGAATTCAAAGGTGATTCTAAAGACTGCTTCTCACAGGAGTGTCTGATAGTAGCCCTAGCGTTGCGTCTTCTTCAACTTTTTATCACCGCCACAAAATTTTCAGGTAGCTTAAATCCTATAGGGAACAAGATGAGATAAGAATGAGTGAACCGATAGATCTCCACTGATAAAAAAGAAATCGACAACTGTGTATTTGTTATCCTCAGGAAATTACTACAATCAAGGGGAGACTCGTAAGAAGGAACTTCTGCAGAGCTGTGATGTTTTGGGGATTCCACCCTCCAACGTAATGATTATTGACAACAGGTAAACTTATCTTTTAACAAGTGGAAATTCATTGGCAATAAAAATGCAGTGGTACACTCAAAAGACACAAACATAATGTGGGTGGATAAGAACATCTTACTTGAGAAGTCTACAGAAAATAGTTTCACGTTTGTTTTTAAGTGACAGTGTAGTGCAAGTGAATTTTTTCAACTTCTGTTCAGATTTTGTCTTAAGATAGCTGCTTCTCTTGAATCTTTAAAAAAAATTATTATAAAAAATTTCAGGGACTTCCCTGGCAGTCCAGTGGTTAAGACTCTGCGCTTCCATTGCAGGGGCCACGGGTTCGATCCCTGGTCAGGGAACTAAGATCCCATATACCGCAGCCAAAAAAAAAGAGTCAAAAGTGTAAAGGACAGTATTACGAAACCCACATGCCTGTAATCTGAGACCAGTGATTGTCAAGCCTTTGCCGTACGTACTTCATCTAACCCTACATAACATCTGTTGTGTGTGAAGTTGTGGGTTTTTTGCAGTTGTAACTTAGCTGTTATATATTTTTTAAAATTTTTTATTGGTGTATACTCTGTTGTGTTAGTTTCAGGTGTACAGCAAAGTGACTCAGTTATACATATACATGTATCCACTCTTGTTTAGATTCTTTTCCTGTATAGGCCATTACAGAGTATTGAGTAGACTTCCTGTGCTCTACAGTAGGTCCTTTTACCTGTTTTATATATAGTAGTGTGTATGTGTCAATCCCAGTCTCCCAAATTATCCCTCCTGTGTGTGAAGTATTTTAAAGAAAACCCAACCATCAGGTTATTCTATCCCTACGTACTTCGGGATACATCTCTTAAGAAGATAGACTTTTTTTTCATGCAGCCACAATGTCATTATTATCCATCTAACAACATTAATAGTAACAGCAATTCCTTGATTTCTCCAATACCCAGTCCATTTTGAGCTACCCCAAGTAGCTCAAAAATGAATGTCTTTTCACAGTTGGTTTGTTCAAATCAGGATGTAGACAAAGTGCACACATTATACCTGGTTGATATTCTGCGTGTCCCTCCCCCCCCCCAACCTTGTCACTGATTGTTGAAAACCTGAGTCAGTTGTCGTACAGAAGGATTTGTCTGTCTGCTCCCTCGTGGTTTTACCTAAGTAGTTCCTCTATCCTCCGTATTTCTTGCAAACTGGAAATGAACGCTAACTTTCAGGGGCAAGAAGCTGCACTGTGTACTCCCTGTTCCGTCATTTCAGGACATGTACTATCTGTCTCACTTTCAGTCACGCATGTGACTGTCTGTCACACGTACTGTGTGCCTCACTCTTAGTGAGCTCACGTGGCAATGGCCGCCCCTTTCACTGTAAAGACCCACATCAGCCTTTCACGCGGTGCTTTCAACGAATCCTTAATTAACTAGAAGTTGCAAAACGGTGACTTTCTAGATGTCTCCTGCGTTCCAAATGTATTAGCTATATATTCTATAAAGTAGAACTTTATCAACTGGGGCTATTTAGTTATCCTGATAGGTACTTTGATCCCAAAAGACAGGCTAAATGCTTAATTCTTTCCCTTTAATCGCCGTTTTCAGAATAGGAGTTGATCCCCTACATACCTCCTATGGTAACCCATTGTTTTTTTGTTTGTTTCTTGGATGGGGAGGCCACTGCTTTATTTCATTAGGAACTTCTGTGTTCATGTGTTCGGTTTTTCAGTTTAAGTCATTGTGTTCTTTGATACTCCAGTTGTCTCCTCTTTGTCCTCTTCATGTTGGCTCATGCATCCTTTTGATAAGAAACGAAGACTCTGACTTAATTTATTACAATTTTTACATATCCCGAAGATCAGGCAGCTTCAGCAATATCCCCTACTTTGAAGATGCTACAGTAGGGGGTTAGTAAACTTGTTAAAAACAAATACTTCAAGGGCTTCCCTGGTGGCGCAGTGGTTGAGAGTCCGCCTGCCGATGCAGGGGACACGGGTTCGTGCCCCAGTCTGGGAAGATCCCCCATGCCGCAGAGCAGCTGGGCCCATGAGCCATGGCCGCTGAGCCTGTGCGTCCGGAGCCTGTGCTCCACAACAGGAGAGGCCACAACAGTGAGAGGCCTGCGTACCGCAAATAAATAAATAATAAAAAAATAAATACTTCAAGAAGCCAGTTTGAAGATTCAAGGAAACCAGGTATCTTAGTCTGCTCAGGCTGCCATGGCAAAATACCAGAGACTGGGTGGCTTAAACAACAGAAGTTTTTTTTTTAATATTTATTTATTTGGTGGCACTGGGTCTTAGTTGTGGCACGTGGGCTCCTTAGTTGCAGCAGGCGGGCTCCTTAGTTGTAGCATGCAAACTCTTAGTTGTGGCATGCACGCAGGATCTAGTTCCCTGACAAGGGATCAAGCCCAGGACCCCTGCATTGGGAGCGCAGAGTCTTAACCACTGCGCCACCAGGGAAGTCCCCAGAAATGTACTTTTTTTCTCACAGTTCTGGAGGCTGGAAGTATAAGATCAAGGTGCAGCAGGGTCGATTTCTGGAGAGAGTTTGCTTCTTGGTGTGCGGATGGCCGTCTCCTCACTGCTCACATGTAGCAGGAAAAGAGAAGTTTCTCTCTTCCTCTTCTTATAAGACCACCAGTCTTATAGGGTTAGGGTCCCACCATTATGACCTCACTTAACCTTAATTACCTCCTAAAGACCCCGTCTCCAAATACAGTCACATTGTGGATTAGGGCTTCAACAGATGAATTGTGGGAGGACACAACTCAGTCCCTAGCAACATGCAACTTTTAGTCTTTCAGCTTCTCATTTCCTAACCCAGAAAAAGCAGAGCTTTGGAATCTTGCTTTGGGTTATTTAGATGGGTCAAAGAGAAGAATGAAGGGAAGAAAGAGAAAAAAAAAAAGTTTTATGGAGGACCTACACTCGGAATAATAATGGTAAATGTATATTAAACTGTTATTGTCAGTGCCAAAGGCCATACTAAATACAGTGATCTTAAAACCTTCAAAATAATCCAATTACTTCTTCCACGTTATAGAGAAGAAACAGGCCTAGTGAGAGGTTGAGTCATTGGCCCGGGGTCATCCAGCTAATATGTGGTAGAGCTGGCGTTCCAGCTGAGGCTCTCTGGTCACTGTGCTTTGTCAACTCCATGAAGGGACTCACAATTTCACAAAGGTCATCTCATTTAATTCTTCCACTAACTGTAGAAAGATAGGTCTTTATTATCCTTTTTCAGTTTCACATGAAGAAACTAAAGCTTAAGACACTCGTCTGAGGCCAGACATTTAACAAATGGCAGGCAGTGCTAGGACTCGAAAGCAGAAAGGAAGACGGAACCGATTCCTGACTTTCCGCGAGAAAGTAGGTCACCACTTTGTTAGTGTATTTGGAAGACCAATGCGTGTTTAAGAGAACATTTGGTTGATGTTGTCTGCTTTCTTCCATTGTTCTGAACTTCGTGGCTGGATTTCAGGGAGACGTTTAGCCAGAGGAGTTCAGTCAGGTAAACCCTTATCCAGGGACTTCACTGGTGGTGCAGTGGATAAGACTCCGCGCCCCCAATGCAGTGGGCCCGGGTTTGATCCCTGGTCAGGGAACCAGATCCCACATGCATGCCACAATTAAGAGTTTGCATGACACAACTAAGGAGCCCACGTGCTGCAACTAAGAGCCTATGCGACCAAATAAATAAATAATTTTTTTTAAAAAAAGTAAACCCTTATCCAACCCCTTAAAGAAGGAAAAAAGTTCAGGTCTCAAGATGAGAAGGCATCTCAGTAACCAGACAACCAAATGGATACTTTGGGTGATTTTACCTAGTTCCTTAATATCTGTGGGTTCTGCTAATTTAATGAATCATATATTTAACTGCATGTTATTAACAGATGCATATTAAGTGCCTGGACTGGGAAAGGCGCTGTGCTAGATGCTGAAGAAAGAGAACAGTTCAAGGTCCAGGAGCCGGGTAGTAGGTGTTGGCCTGACCGTCACCACTGCTGAGTTTGCAGAAACGTTCATTGTGCCAAGGTTCAGGCCTAGAAGGGGCTTAGAGACCCTCTCCAGGATACTTGGGAATTGAATGTGATTGGGAAATGCAACCTACAGATTTAGTATTCATTTGTTGCTTTTGTGCTTCTTAATATATTAGGAAGAGTCCATAGAATTATTTCATTTACATTTCAAAACAAAACAAAAAGTAAACACACATTTCTGTACACATAATTTCTAAAAGAACATATACCAGACTCGTTAATAGTAGGTGCTACTTAACTGGACCAGGGAAGGACACTTGCACTTCTTAATTCTGTACAGTTTTATTTCGCTTTTGCTTTTTTAGGAAGCCTATGTTACTTTTTTTTTTTTTTTGCGGTACGCGGGCCTCTCACTGTTGTGGCCTCTCCCATTGCGGAGCACAGGCTCCGGACGCGCGGGCTCAGCGGCCATGGCTCACGGGCTCAGCTGCTCCGCGGCATGTGGGAACTTCCCGGACCGGGGCATGAACCCGTGTCTCCTGCATCAGCAGGCGGACTCTCAACCACCGTGCCACCAGGGAAGCCCGCCTATATTACTTTTTAAAGTACAAGCAGAAACGCACATATATGGAATCTAAAAAAAAAAAACGGTACTGATGAACTTAGTGGCAGGGCAGGAATAAAGATGCAGATGTAGAGAACGGACTTGAGGACACGGTGGGGAAGGGTAGGCTGGGACGAAGTGAGAGAGTGGCATGGACATATATACACTACCAAATGTAAAATAGGTAGCTAGTGGGAAGCAGCCGCATAGCACAGGGAGATCAGCTCGGTGCTTTGTGATGACATAGAGGACTGGGATAGAGGGGATGGGAGGGAGGCTCAAGAGGGAGGGGATATGGGGATGGATATATGTATACATATGGCTGATTCACTTGGTTGTACAGCAGAAACTAACACAACACTGTAAAGCAATTATACTCCAATAAAGATGTAAAAAAAAAAAAAGTACAAGCAGACCTCAGACATATCACAGGTTGGGGTCCAGCCCACTGCAATAA